CTTAGAAGACTTCGGGGCTACTGTAGCGGGGCAGAGCAGGAACATATGTCAGTACGACTGAAGTGAAGTACAGAATCAAGGAACTGAAACACGGCATGAAGTCGACTACTTTATGAAATTTAATTGAGTATGTACGAGGTATTAATAGGAAAATAATAAAGATGAAGGGATATATGAAGAACAAACACATATGCAAACACAATGTACAAGAAGACTATTGAAAGTGAAGTAGAGAAAACATTGCATTTCTGTTTCAAATCAATTTTTTGTTCCCTGGAGTGGTATTAACTATAGTAGAAATTCACATGACGAACCACATTGAAAAGAAAAACTTGTACAGCATTATGTACGCTGCAGTGGAAGTACGCATAAAAAATTTAGGAATGTTTGTCCTATGATTCACATTCGGTCACTGAACACGTACGGAAGCGGACAATTTTTTATCTACAATGCGCAATAACTCACTTTAATTTTTGCAATAAATTACCTATAATGAGAAAATATAAAATAATATTACTTTTTTAGAAAAAACGCAAAATTATGTTTTGTTTTAGAGTTATTAAGCAAAAACTTGTCCACGAAATGTAGGTAAAGAATTAAATATTTCTACAGTGTGAAAATGCAGAATTGTCGATTCTCACCAGAAGCTGTGACCGATCGGACTGCTCACGAAAAGTGACATTGACCATGAATAGCGCGGAAATTTCAATATTGACCTTGTCGAAAAATGGCTATAAGGTTCTACACAGAGAATTCTAAAAGCTACTTTAAAACTTCATGATAAAATATCTGAAGAAAATAACAAAGCAGCTACAATCAGATATGATCGACATGTAAAAATCAGTCTCCGTGCCTATCTGTTCAAGGCCACCGGTCCAAAATTTATCATTTTTCTGTGATATTTAATCTATAACCTTTCTTAGCCCGATGACCATTAATAATAAGACTAAAATGTACGCTTCTATGGAGTGGTAGTCTAGACATGCCTGTATGCTTTCGAGAGTTCATCCCAACAAAGCCTCATATATGTGAAGCATAACAATTTCTACTTCGAGTTTCAACAATTAGATGCCAAAAAAATTAGTGAAAACATTTCAAAAAAAGAATTATCGATTAATTTCGCTTTTGCAAGTATATCAACATGATTTACAAGCATGGATCGACCAAAGTCGTGAACATTTTAGTGACTTCTTCATCATTGTACCAGGTCCTACTTACAGCACTGATTAGCTTTGTCTCTGTCGAAGTCTTCTTTATGGAGCCATCCTTTCATTCTAGTCCATAGGTATTCGATGGGCTTGATGTCAGGAGAATTTCAATGCCAGTTTATAAGGTCCGGTCCACTTTTTTCGAAGAATGTGCACATTTTATGTGAAGTATATCATGGTGTGAGATGGTGCTGAAAAATGCCGTCTCCATCCGAAAAGTCCCTTTTCACCAATAACTCCTTGAAACCTCCGACTAAACATAACCTGGACTCCTAACGTAATTTATAAAATAGTGCATTATAAAGGGTTTTCGTTCTGGTGCGTTCAATCTTCTTAAAACTGACATTTTAAGAAGATTTTGATTTCATTTCATTATTTTCACAACTGTAAGCAGTCATTCGAAAAATTGTCATTCGCATAGTCAATGTGGCTAAAAAATATCAATACATTGACTAGACTAAAATTTTCATTCATTCTAGTGTCTAATTCCTCATGCATTATTTCCTGATTTAACTCATGACGATGAAGACTGATCTAGAGGACATACAAACACAAAACACAACATTCCCAAAGGCAAAATAAAAACAAATCAACCACCTCTACCAGACGACAGAGCTCTCATAACTCAAAGAAATCAAATCAGAACTGTAAATCACACAGACCCGCAGCTACAGCAGTTAAACAGAGAAATTGATAGAGCCATACAAGACCATAAAACGAACATCTGGAGAGAACACTTGGAGCAACATTGGGACAACAAACACAATAGCCATATACTCTGGAAAACAATACATCAACTATCAAACAAAACTTTCCCACTCAACCAAACAAATCCATTAGTTTCCCAAACAAAACAGCACACACTTCCAAAGACAAAGCAAAATCTTTCAATAACCAATTCATAAACATAACAAACACCAAACCTCCCCTCACTACAGAAAAATAGACAGAAAAATCAAAAACTTACGAAAAGATCAGATGACCATCACAACAGATATGACCATTTCTGCAATTAAAAATAGTAAAACCAACAAATCCATGGGCCCTGATAACATTAACATTCAGCACCTAAAACACCTTGGACCCAATGCAATATCATACCTCACCAAAATATTCAACATAGCAATAAACAAAAACATCATCCCACACCCATGGGAACTAGCCAAGATCATACCCATACCCAAACCCAACAAAGACACATACATAGGCTCTTCCTACAGACCAATATCACTCCTCAGTTCAATCTCCAAAACATTAGAAAAAATCATACTCAACATCATTCAACCTCTCATTCCACAAATAGCTCACCAACACGGTTTCAAGGGAAATCACTGCACAGTTACAGCCCTACCCTCACTTACCCAACACATTACCCGCGGATTCTATCAGAAACAACCACCTTCACGAACCATCACAATAGCACTAGACATGTCCATACTCTCCCATCGAGGCGGCGGGGCTGTTAGCGCGCTGGGGAGAGAGGTTGGGCTGGCCACAGAAATGGGTGTAGGCCCCGTCCCGCACTTGTCGCGGGACGGGGAGGGCAAACAACAACAACAACAACATACAAACACATTGCCTACATTGTTGCCGAATATAGTGATTAAAATTTGAAATATCCCTGAATTTGGACTTCAACTTTTATTATTTTTTTGAATCTTTGGAAATGATTAATAATGATTAATAATACATGAATATTTTGATATAAACTTTGAGTACACTATCCTCCTATTCCTGGCATTTTGACTTCCACTAGCGGATAGATTTTAATAGTGTCGTCTCCAACAACGACGAACGAAAGCATCATCGTCCCAATTGTGCCCGAAGCACCAAACCACCGGCAATATATGGCGTCGAAATGTTAAATTTGGTTGTCCTCGATATTTTGGAGATTCTGGCAGAGAACTTAATATTTAAAGAGGTATTTCACTTGACTATTTACGCCGAATAATTATAAAATGAATATACTAACTCGGCAACGTTAGGAATAAGCTAGAAGATAGTACCATTCTTGTGTACTCGAGAGGTAAATGACAATTACGCGAGTACAAATTTTAAGTTAGTTACTTGTAGAGCAATCCCTTGACCATGAAGATGATAAGATTGAGCTCTGAATCTTGCCACATGTATTCTAAAGACGATTTTATGATAATTTCACCCTTTAGGCCATTGAATAAATTTTGATTCTTTGAATAAAGTTGAAAGTAGTGCTGTATTATGCGTGCAGCCTCGCAAACAGGTTCCTTTTTCATACTCTGCTTGACTAACTAAAATGGACGCAAAATCAGGTTTAACCCCACATTTTTTGTTTCATGGATGACATCACAACATACAAAACAATGTCTGGTGCTGACGATTCAAGCTTAAAAACTGACAAAACAAGTATAAATAAATCGATAAATAATAGTTACAGTTATTCTTGACTCTTAGGAGGCGCAGAAAAATTTGTTTAATACAATTTCTGCAATACGGCTTAAAATTTGAACTTTGTTAAATACCTGAAAAAACCTCACCATGGACAAAGAATTGGGACCAAATGTTGTGGACAAGATAATTTTTTGTTTATACCAGTGTTTCTATGCAAACAATGCCTCTTCGATTTGTTGAATGAGATCGATCGAATCCGTCTCCAATCGAAGGAGAAGACAATCAGTTATGTCATTCTTGTAACAGTGTTTACAGACTACAAAAGTTGCCGTACAACTTTCTCATGAAACGCTACATAAACATTAATTTGGAGTCTCTCACATGTTGCAAAATGTTATGGTTTTCGTATACTTCTTATTCTGAGGTAGAGGGTCACCTTCTCATTTTAAATGCACGTTGCCTCATCGCTAATTACTATGCGTGATACTGGATACAAATCATTTATATCGTCTCTGAAAATGAGAATATGTCAACAATAAAATTTTTCTGGAAATTTGTCTGTTTTCTGGAAAAACGTTTTTGTAAGAATCTTTGTATAAGATCGAGGGAAATTCAATGCTCTGCTATAACTGCTACTCATGGTTTGTACAAGGTCCCAGAAGGATTACTAGAATTTGAAACAAGAACCAACACCAGGGGCCACAGCTATAAACTGAAAAAACTGCGGTTCAACTTATCCACGCGACAACATTTCTTCTCGCTTCGAGTCACTGCAGGCATGACATGTGGAACAGCCTCCCTGAAGATATTGTTGACGCTCCGAGTATGAACGCGTTCAAGAACTCAAGAACAGACTAGACAAGGCCATGCATGAGCATATGTTCAGTCTTAAAATGCCTCGTACCCTACGGAACAACTGAAATCTAGAAGCGATTTTAAATCTACCGTCCGTAAGGCCAGTCTAGTCAAGAAAAGTACAAGAATCGGCGACAGGCCTATCCAGGCCTATTTATTTAATGCCGAAGATACTATACTATACTATACTATACTATACTATACTATACTATACTATACTATACTATACATCAATGCTCTGCTATCTGAAGACAACCTGATTCATACCCATTTGAACCTTTTTTCTTTTAAGAAGATAAAGTTTTTATTGAGTATGCTCTTTTTAGCTTTGAAGGCCACTTCATTCATAATTATTTAAACCTCTTTCACTTTTTTATAAGCAAAACATGTTCTCCTTTTCTTAAAGAAAATTTATTTTTCCTCTCTTTAAAAGGAAAAACGGTTTCAATGAGTATGAATGAGGTTGCTCTCGAAGCGAAACTTCAATTGGTACTTGAATGTTCCCTTCGGCTCTATGGATCAGTTAACGTATATCTCCCATTTTCAGTTTTTCTCAGCATCAAGGAACTGCATGAAGATCACAACGTACGTTGCCACAAAAGAGAAGATCTGTTGAATAAACATAAGCAATTATGGCTTCCTCTGAGCGAAAAAGTTCCGTGATAAATAAATGGGGTAAGAAGATCGTAAGTCGTGGCGACATTAGAATATGCACATTTTAATTCTTGATTCTATCTTTTCATGCGTCCTACAAACTCTACACACTTTTTATAGGTCGAATCCATTGTGTTTTCGAAGATTCGATACAGAAGCAATTTTGAGTGACATCTTTGATCCGGGTTGCAAACCCTCAACAAACTTTCAAAACTTCTCATATCCATGCATTGTTTAGAAGTATTAGAATATTCTACAATGTGCAACGCAGTTTGTAGGATCGTATAATACATGATTAGAAGTGTTATTATATCATTACGAGGATGTTCTTACCTAAAAATCAAAGAAATCACGTTTTCTGGGTTTTTTAATCTCATTTTTTAGGGAGGACTATTACAAATCGGCAGCAAGAAACCGCATTGAAATAGCTATCATGCTTTTTTCGTGAGGCCCTTTTGAACTTTTATTTAATGAACGCTTTATAACCATTGTTTATAGAAATTTCTCTAATCAAATCTGTATATATAGATCATTTTTCGCGTAAATTAGAGTGTGTTTGCAGTCATTTTGTAGCGTCAATCAAGACGAGTTCAACAAAGCAAATACCATGAATATACATGAAATAAATTTTGCGTAAGGCCGTTTGAACTTTTATAAAATGGCCATTCATATAAATAAATATGTCGGAAAATCACATTTGCTGCTTATTATGTGCGGAAAACTGGACAAGAATAGGCCTAAATACGCGTGATGGTACCCTCAAAACGAATAATTAGCAATGGGGAAGCTGAAACTACAATATCAAGCAATTTTTTAGCGTTTTCTCCTTTTTCAATAAATTTTACAGTTAAACAGTTAACAGTTACAGTTAAACAGTTTTACAGTTACAGTTCCTTAACGGTTAAAATTTTCAAAAAATGCCATCTTGAATAATTGTCTCCTCGTTTGATTTTGAAGCTAGCCTACAGCATTGAGAAACAGATCATTGACTTGTAAATACCGTATCTAGCGACTCTAGAAGCCCTTTTTCTGATTTGTACATGGTTTGGATTATATATTGAAATAATTTGTTTAGATAAAATTTTACATATTTTTTATACAAGTCGTATAACAAGTAAAACAAAAAATCGAAAAAAGGCCTCGAAAAATCGAAAGAGTCGATATACAATATATTCTCTTTACAAATCGAATGATATCATTGATATGTTTCTCGATGGTGTAGCACGTAAATTGAAGGATAAGATAGATTTATAGAGGACCTAATTTTTTGCCGTTTCCTATGCAATTCACGTTTTTTCAATCGTTTTTAAAAATTTATAGGGGCAAAATATTTTTCTTTGAGTGATTTTCATATGCATACGAACTTTCTGTAAGATCGGTCATATAGTTTAAAAGATGATTTTTATGAGAGATGCGCCTCTTAAAACATTTGGGTTTTGAACTCTTCGGGAAAACATTAACTTCTTATTATATTATTTGCAGACATGAATGGATTACTCATGCTAGTTAAAGTATGTTTTAGTTACTCACATGGACTATCTTGGAACGTCCAAGCGTGAAGACGTGACACATGTCAAAACTGGGGCTCTGATCCAGTAGGTGTTGCAGCTCTTTCAGCTGTTTCAATTTAAACATCAGGATTACAATTGTGATTTGTCATCTTCATTTCTCTGCATGTTCTCTGGAAGTTTTTGTTTCATACGATTATATCATATTTTCCTTGTCATGATATTGCAGTAGTTTTATTAATTATTTTCATTTGTGACCCATTCAATTCTCATATTTTCATTTGCAGAAAAGAATGCAAAGTGCATGAAACATCATTTGAATTACTTGTTCGCTCCGATGAGTGGGCAATATCGTCAACTTCATTAGCTTCCACTTCAGAGCAGCTACCTGTAAAATAATAGAATCATGTATCAGATCGTACAATCAAAATGCAACCGTAGAGGTAAAAGTTAGAGCTAACATCATTAGACTAAGGTGCTATCTCTTCCATGAAAACCGCTTCAATTCCGTAAATCTAGGTTTTGAGCTGAGAAACTTATGTCTTTTATACACTTTGAATTCTTCATTTATCAATGGTACTGCAGGGCAATAAAACTTAAGGAATATGCTGATTCGTTTCCAACAAATGAATATTTGTTTGCAGATTAACGGAGTGCATGCAGATTAACGGAGTAGTAAAGGCTTATTAAATAATCCAAGTTTTCATTGTGGATAGCAATGGTCGTGCGCAGAGCGGAATACATTTCTGAAAATATTAACGATTACAAGAATACCAACCATCATCAGACCAACCTTTTCAGTGTAAGAAGTTGGCAGATTCAGAATGAAGAGCAATGGCATCACAGTAATCAATGTATGGGACATCAGAAGCAGTCTTTGACTTGTGCTTAAATTTTGGTGCAGCATCATATAGCAAATAGTTACAATAGCTAAAAATATCAATAACATTATTTTGACAAGTATGATCTTGTCCATGTAACTCATGAGGAGTTTGAGAAGAGAATATATCCTCACGATGAAATCTTGAACACGTTGAAATTTTTTTCCATGTCCCATCCAGTTCACTGAATGTGTCTCCAGACATTGAGGGAGTTGCCTGTGCTCCACACCAGGCCATTTTTTTCCGGTTTTAAACTAACGTGATCCAAACTTTTATCTCCGTCATTATCAAACGTTAAACAATTACACCATCCAAGGCCTGGGCCAATAATATTTTTGAAGACGGCATCAATACAATTTTCTATTTGGCCCAAGAAAAACTCGAAAGTAACACCAAGCAGACAGAGCTGAAGGCTCATCGCTGTAAAACGTACGCTTTGTAGCGCTAGAGTGAGTCCGTCAAAAACCACGACATCGAAAACCCAGTTTGCAGTTAGAGAAATAATTACAGCAAGTAGTACCAGCGTTATCATCAGCCGCGTCAACCACAGGCGGTGTTTCGATGTTTGCCTACCGTAAACTAATTCTCCGCTAAAACCTTGGACCTCTCGGCTCATATTATTGCTCTCGAGGAAAATGTGAGCAAGTTTATCCTTTTGTGTGAAGCACAGAACCTGGATAAGAGCCACCGAGAGTGCCACGATTACATCGTAAATCGTGTGAAAGACCCTCAGAGTTGAATAGGTAAGATGGTTCACTCTTGACCTGAAAATTGATTCGTAGATGTCGAGGCACATGACGGACGTCAGGCCGAGAGTCAACGCTCCGCTCCAAACGTTCCATTTCTTCGACTTGACCAGGGAAAATTTAACTGCTGCCTGTCCTTTCTTTGGGCTAACATCTTGAGTATTCCACTTATATGGCAGGTATCCGAAGATCCTGAGCATAAAATCTAGAAATTTTATCCACATACCGACTTTCATTTGAAGCGATATTATCAATTCAGACTTCGAATTCAAAAACTGCAATAGAAGAAAACAGTGAAACTGCATATTTATTATTCACTTACGTTGTAAAATTAACGATATCTCTACTACCTCATTATTTGAGACGTCAAGTAATGCGACTCAATTATAATTTCATAGTACATTTATAAGCACACAGTTTCAAAGGCTTATATTTACTGTAGCGTTTCACGCGATATCCCAGAGTGACGCACAACCTCCTCGTTTCAAGACCGAGAAAGAGTGTACGAATAGGAGATTAGAGATCGACGGCATACAGGATACAAGAATATAAATTGAGTGTCCATTGATCAACGCGGTCGATTTGTTTGTGGCAAACATCCAATGAACCATATAGTCTAAATGTTATCGTTTTGATAAGTAATGAAGTCGGTCTCACCGCTTAGCCTCACTAATGAGTAAAGTTACGTATTGTAAACTGATCGCAGGCAAGACAGTGCGGGACATTTTTGACGATAATTGAGTGATATGGGCAAATCGAAAATCCACTAGATATGTCTTACAGTGAATTAATCCACGTTGCGTTATAGCAAAAGCTGAACGACTTAAAATCATGTTACACGAGTTGAAATAAGTACTTAAATCAAAAGTCTGCTTAAAGCGCAAGTTCAGGTAGAATTTAAATTGAAACCAGCGTTTCGGAGACCAGCTCCATAATCAGTTTATAAAAAATTTCTAAATGATGATGAAGCTTGTCTCCGAAACAAAACATTTTCATTAAGACATGGTGAACTAGCTTGGCGTTTTCTTGGCTTCTGAATTTTAGGATGTAATATATTTTTCTTTGCACATTTGTCGTGAAATTTATTCATAAATACCGTAAATATTTGGTCAAATTTTGTTGGCGGCATAGAACCTAGTTCATCCGAATTGAAGAGTTTGTCACCCTGAAACAAATTTTGTTGCATATGTATTTTTATTAGAATTATCTGTAATTTTTCTTGCACATACTTCAATTTACATCATTATTTATGAAAAGATTAAAATTCTCAATATTTTGTGTCCTATCGGTACGGTAGGAGTGCAAATGTGAAATTCTTTTTAGAATGTTAAGGTTAAACGGCAACCGAACAAAAATATATTAGCAAGAAGGAATGCGTTCCCTATCCAAATATGATACTACTTGTAATATTTGTATACGATAAAAATGATCAATCTGCA